CGGGGAGCGCTGGGACGGGGGAGGGAAACGCTGCGGCCCAGAGTCCGTCCCCGGCGGTGCAGGCGCGCCGGGCCCGCCTCTGAGAGCCCKCCGGGGCGGGCAGTGCCACCCCTCAGCAGCCTTCTCTCGGCAAGGGGCGTGTTGCTCCGGGTATTAACACAATTTATGGGATCTCCCATGAATTGAGTCAGTGTCCTTTGTAACAGCATAACGGAATTTATAATATGACTCCCAGGCTGTTTTAAGGAAACCAACTGATCATTGCACTAATGTAAAATTTAGACTGCAAGTTACTAGCACAGCTATTAACCGTTTTTTTTTTAGACCCACACCAGCCTGGTTCCTGGTTGTCAGGGGCCCTGGCGTGCACAAAAGACCCAGGTTGTTGTACAAGGCTTTACTCCTGGGATCTTCCCCCATGGTCCTGTGAGTTGAACGTGATGGAAATGACTAAAAAGAGGAGCTAGGTTTAAGTGTTCCAGCTGTGGCAGCTGGAAAAAAATATTTTATATAAAACTTTATTTTTTAAAGAAGTGGGCTTATCCCCGTTATTACCAAATACTATCCAGGTTTTAAAAAATAAAATCCCTTGCTCCCTCCTCTACATTGTAGAGCAGTGGAGACCTCAGGAAGCACCCAGGGCTCATATTTAAGTCTTCATTGCCCAAGGAGTTGTGGAGGATCCCTTTCAATCCTTCCCTCAGAAGTAGATGTGCATRTCCAGAAATGGACAGGGATGATGCAGGCAGGACCTGGCCCTGATTTKACTCCCTTTGAGCATGCAGTAAAGTGTTAAGGAGACTGTTGTGCTGTTGCAGCGTAGTTCTAGTAAAATTTAAGAGGGAAACATCCTATCGCTATGGGTAACTGTAAATTAGGGGGTTAATGATAGCCCCTTCAAGGGCATTTTCATAATATATTATGGATAAACGGTATTTGCTTTTTGAAATCAGAGATTTTATTAAATTAACGTGAGAAAAGTACATAAGTGTTTGCAGACTTTAAGATGATTCACACAGGCGTTTTTGGTAAGGAAACCATTTCCAAACTACAGGGAAGGTACTTCTTGGGCACAGCCCCATTTCCTTTATTCATCTTACCGAGTATTCACCTAAAAAAAAAAAAAAAAAAAATCAGGCATAAGTCACAACGCATTTTACTTCTACTCCTCTCTTTTAAAGACTATTTTTTGTCCCTTTACTGTACTATGGTACAGTATTTACATTACTAACAGCAGTCTGACAGTTTTAGTTACCCTTCTACAGTTACCATCAGCAGTTACTATAGAGACTACACAATGAAACACTGTGAAATAGAGCAAGTTTGATGGCAACACTTATTCTGGGGCTTGTATAAAAAGCAGAGTGTGATGCAAACACTACTCACCACATCATCAATCTTAAGAATACTGCGCACAGTTTCTGTTGCAAGAGTCAGGGCACTCACAGACACCAGCAGTGGCTGCACCACCAACTCCTCCAGGATGTTGGAGATCCCACCCTGCAAGAACAAACGAGGTTACTGGGTGAATGTGACCACTACAGCCAGCTTTAACACTCTCTTTTAAGAGAAGCTTGGAAGAGATATGCAAGAAGCTGGCCCTCTGTGCTGCAAACAAAGCATTAAAGATGAACACAAAACAAAGACCTCCCTTCCTGCCTTGTCTTTTTTCTTTAAGGAATGTATTCTAAACTTAAAAACGTTATTCAAGGAGCTGTTAATCTAGTTCTGATAGCTGTAAAGATTATGAACTCTAAATTTCAAAATGATCCTTCTTACTCTATTCTCTTCTTCTTCACCCTATGTTGGTGAAGCCACTTAAGCTCGTAAGTTGTTTTAGGCTACAGTTTCAGCACTGGTACTACTTGTTCTTGCCTCTGTGCACAAACTCTGTGCTTTACAACAAAGGCATTTCATTCTGCAAAGACATTTTTGTGATAACCAAAATTGTGACAAATGACAGCTATCTTGTTCTATGCGCATGGTATTATCAATACCCCAAATAAGATGTTAAAGCCTAGAAGAACAAGACATGATCTATCYAAACACTACAGCTTTAAGGACAATACAGCCAGCAGACACACCTAGTCTTTCCTTATTTCAGTTCTTAATGCTTTCATTTTCCATTTATGGGGCCATGCTTGTTTTAAGCTTAATCCTGTGTGTGTGTGTAACGCATTACCTTTCTGACGTTAATGCCAGCTGTTTTCTCTCCTTGAGCGTGCCTGTTTCGCAGCTCTGTCACTGTTGAAATGGGATTGAGGCCTGCATTTTCYGCCAGGGTAGAGGGTATGACTTCCAGTGCATCCCCGTATGCACGGACACAGTAGGAGTCCATCCCGCTCAACGTGCGAGCGTACTCGTTGAGGCGCAGCGCCAGCTCTATCTCTGGTGCTCCACCTCCTGCAATTAAAGCTCTGAGAACAGAGATTTCAAAATAAGTAAAATCTTCGGCACTAATGACCATCCCTATTATGAGAACACTAAGTGACTATCTGATAAAAGATGTTACCTTTTCTTAACTAAGCATCTTATGACACACAGAGCATCATGAATTGAACGCTCTGCTTCTTCAAGGACAAGTTTGTTGGATCCACGTACCACAATTGTTACAGTTTTTCCAGGGTTGGTACAGCCTGTAATCTAAAACAAAACAAAAATGAACTAAAAAACCAGTTCTGGACAAAGACGTAAGTTACCATGTTAAACTCTGGAAACAGCACTGAGCTCTGCTAAGCAAACCCACTACGCTTGCAAAGTCAGGGGCTAGCCAGGGATTAGAAGTAGATGCTTTCATGTTTCTTCTTATTGAAGTTATTACACTTAATAGCTGATATTAAAGAACTTGCAAAWATTAAAATAGTATTAACATGGCCCTCACTCACCTTTATTAGTTTTCCAGAGCTGTTCAAGTTAACTTCTTCTGCCAACTCAGCAGACCCCAGCATATCAGGAGTAAACTGGTCTATGTGAGCAACAGGCTTCGTTCCAATTGTCTGCAGAGGAGGAAAAAAAACAAAAAGGAAAAAAAAATCAGAATCTGATCTCCAGATTATGTGAGCAATACTGCATTATGTAGTGTTGCATTTCACAGGAAAATGTAGGTAGACACTGCAGTTTTTACAGCCACTGCTAATCCTTCTACAAATTTGACTGCTCAGGAGAACAATGTCCTGCCTGCTCCTACACTGCCATCAAAATATTGCATTTTGTTGGCCTGAAACCCGTGAACCCATCATAATAAACTGGCACTGGCCAGGTACCCAGTTTATATGTGGCTGTTACTCAAATAGGCACTTATATAGTTGACTTTACCTTGCATATAAATTCAATGTCTTCTCTTTCAATGTCTTTAACCACCATGATCTTCATCTTGTTCAGGAAATGCAGAGCTAGGTCACTGAGAGCATCCCTACAAACCAGAAGGAAGCAGTCAGCACGTGCTGTTAAGCTTGGGTTACACGAGCCAGCCACTTGGCTCTTATGGGCAGTGCTCAAATTCTTCAGACTCTGAAGCAGGGATGTTATTAAATCCAGAACACAGAGAGCATCAGTGCACTGTAAAAGCGCAGTGAGTCAAGTCAGTCTGACAGCCCAGGGCCAGTTCAGTGCTAATGCCTGGCTTCACTTCTCCAGGTATTCAAATCAATTCTATTTGTTCTCCAAAAACACACAGCAGGTTARTACATCAGGAGTTAACGTACCGCAGAATAGACTTCTGAATCAGCAGCACATTGCAGCCAGCCTTCTTAATTTGCTTAACTAAATTTAGAATGTAGGCTCTCTCTTCACGCAGCACTCTGTCCATTTGGGCATAATCAGAAACAACAATTTGGTTATCCATCTATTGAAAGAGAGAGGAAAAAAAAGTATYACACAGAAGTGCCAACTTCAAAAGRCAGTCAAGATGCTCTACATTCTAACACTTTAGGAGGCTGTGATTTAAGGCAAATAGACTTGGACAGAGATTTGAGTGAMAAGATGATTTAGAGGTTTGTTTCTACAAACATAAGAAATACCGAACTTCTGAAACATCTTCTTTATATTTAAGAATTAAGAGCACTTCACCATTTCCTAGCACATTACATTAACAGAGCTTTACTACAGTTGCAGAATATAGCRGACCTCACAATACTGTAAGAAGACGTACGAGATCGAGAAGACCTCTCGGGCCATACAGCAAAAGTTTTCACTGTAGTAATTTTTTAAACTTACATCTGTCTTTGGAGCAGACAAGCAGAACTGAATTAGACCAATTTTGGCTTTTTCCACTCTAGTTACTCCAGTATTTGCCACCTTCTGAGTCAGGACTAAGCCTTCAACCAGTTCACAATCATCAATTGTTCCTCTGGAAACAAGAACAATTCATCAATCAATTATTTTGGTAAACAAATTAAAAAACAAAATGAGAAATTCTGTTTACAAATTGTTTCTTACCCCAATTTCTTAACAATTTTAATATCTCTGAGGTCCACACTACTAGCTGTTGATGGATCAATCACTTTCATCACTGCATCCACACTCATTGGAGAAAGTAAACTAGAATACTGACACACAACCTAAGGGATTTAATAAGGAACACCATCAGTAGGGTGAGATATTTACTGGTGATAAGCACTAGCTAGTAACTTCACAATGCTATTCTATTTTACACATCTTCATTTGATTTCTRATTTTAAAACAGACTGTTTTCCCTGTCAGCCAGTCAGATGTCTTACTGCAGTTTTTTTAATTTAAAAGAATACCAAACCAAACCACCACTAAAAACCCCACCTATTTTGGTGGGGAAAATCTGGGCTTTAGGAATTATCTGAAGAAATGTGAATTCCTCCTTTTTGAACTTATATAGGTACTAGCAAGCTTCACATATTATTCTGTTGGAGGGAGACTAGCTTTTCTTTCCTTTTTAAGTAACCCTACAATGCAAAATATTGTAGGGAAGAGAAAAAAAAAGTCATGGTTACTGTTTTGCAGCTGCTGGGAACACTTGCAAAAACAAGGAGCTCTGAAATCCAGTTATTCCGGAAAAAAAATAATTTCTTCAAATCAATCTCAGTCAATCATAGTTTTAAATAAGTCACTCTAATTTAACAAAAGTAGCATGGCCTCTGCAACCAGATCCGTGGTGATTTTCAACAAGGGAGTAGCAGCATTAGCTGGGAAAAACTGAAAGGACCACRTAGCCAGAAGGCAGGGAGGTCGGGCATCAGTCCCACCTTTGAATTCAGTGACGTAGTTGCGCTATTTAGCAAGGTTTCTCTGTCACTCAGTTCAACTGGTTGTGCCATGTTGGTCAACACTTCAATACCTTTTTCCAAAGCTTTCTGGAATGACTCTGAAATGATGGTGGGGTGAATTCCTGCAAAATTGCATAAAACAGAGTTAGAAGGGCATGTTTTCAAACCAAAAGCCTTTTCCCT